TGCCCCCGCGCCCCCCCCGCCCCCCCCCGCCCCGCCAGAGGATTTTCATTAAACGTGTAACCCAGATGTCCCGGCCTCGGTTTGTTTACATTCTTGGGAACTGTTCTGGAAAAGGGGAAAAACCCTGGATGTGCGGGGGAATATTGCAATCCGCGCTTTCCAGGGGCCGTCGGGGCGGGGCGGAGGAAGGTGGGCGTCGGCGCTGGGGAGGGCAGAACCCTCGGCGGAAGCGCAGCGCGCAGCACACGCCCACCTGCGCACACCTGCCCACCTGCGCGCATGCACCCACGCGATGCACATCCACGTTCACGCCCTCCTGTGCGCACCGCGCGCGGCCTTGGTGCGGGATCCTCTCGCTCCAGCCCCGGGGACTCGACCTCTTCCTGCACAGCCTGCAGCGGACTTACCCGCTTTTGGCCTCCCAAACAGAAGCCTCCAAGCGCTTCAGTCCTCAACCCCAGATTCCGGAGGGCATGTGTCACCCTCCCCTGGCCAGTGGAGCCCCTAACTGGAGAGCCACCAGCTGAGATTAGAACCACTCCTTTCACTCAGCTTTTCCCCAGCAGAGGGAGAAAGAAGGGTTCGCAGGTCCTGGTTGTCATGTCTTACCTTGACAGAAGAGGCTGTGTCAGGGACTGTCTGAAACATCCTGGGTTGGCGGTCAGGAAGGCGCAGAACCAGCCTGGGTGGGAGACACCTCGTCACCCTGAGTGGGGGCTGTGAGCAGGTGGAGTGGGGTTGGGGGAGACCGCGCGGTTGAGAGGCTGGGCTCCCTTGAGTCGGGCAGATGAGCGGTTAGACAGGAGTGCCCCCAAGCTAGGGGTGGTGAGGGCCGCAGCAGCTCAGTCAGGGGGTCACCAAGGCCCCCTCCCTCACCCTCCACTGCTGCCACCAGGAGCCTCTATAGTTTCACACCTGGGGAGGGTATGTCTCATCCAGCCAGAGGTGAGAGGGGGTGGGGAGAGAGACAGGTCACCCGCCCACACAGGCTGAGGCTGCCCCAGGGAGCAGATATTCTCAGAGCTGCCACTGCTTGGGCTCTCTGGGGACAGTCCTTGTTTCTGCCCAGCCTCTTCTAACCCCTGCGTCTCTGCCAGTGTCCGGCTGCCAGGGTCGGTTAGGGAGGAAGACTCACTTGAGGTTCTGGAGGTCTATAGAGGCCCCTTCCCTCCCACCAGCTGCCCCACAAATACACAGGTTTGCTGGCAGAGAAAAGGCAGTGGACCCTGGGTCTTCACCTAGGTCTGTATCAGACTGCAGAGTTAGGAGAGTGCTCTGAGACTCCAGGTGCCTCTGCACAGCCGGCTCCCCTGGCCCCCAGGCCCCCAGCCGGCCTCGCCAAGGCTGAGGGACAACCCTCTCCTCTCCCTCCCTTCTCTGAGACCATCTCTGAGCAGTGCAGGCTTCTCCAGCAGCCAATGTGTTTCTGATAAAGCACTTTCCTCCCCACTAACAAATTCCATCCAGCTTTTTGGGCTTTGAAAGCCACAGCAGGCACACAGGAGCGCAGGACAGGGTGCCTTTCTAGGCTGGCTCACTGCTGCGGCACCTTGTCCTTTCTCTAGCATCCCCCATGGTCTTTGAAAGTCGGGGTGCGGATCTTGAGAAAAGAAAGACGGGAAAGGAAGGACAAGAAGAACCCCTGGAGATGATGAGCGAAAGAAGCCCTGAGTTACCGCTTCTCAGTGGCTGTCAGAGCCTGTCCTGACAGAGGGGCCCCTGCCCCACGCTGCCCTGCCCGCTGAGGTCCCGGGACCAGACAGCGGGCACTCACCTCAGAGGTCCTTTCCTGCTAAGCCGGCGGGAGGCGGGAGCCAGGAGCCAGGAGCGGATCTCTCCGGTAGCTCCAGGTTTCCGGGTTTCTTTCCGTGTTGTGCCTGGGGCTCTCGGAGGAGCCCTGAAGTGGGAGCTCAACCTGCTGCAGCCACAGTTGCCTTCTCTGTGCTCTGGCCCTGCCTCTGGCCGGCACTGGGGCACTGGCGCAGGCTGCTTGGACACACGTGCCCGGCAGTTTCCAGCTCGCTGCCCTCCACCAGCTACCCGGGTCCCACTCCCTCGTCCTCTCTCTTTGCCTCTCTTGTAATTTGATTTCCGTTTTCTTATCAATATTTCAACTGCTGTCTGAGAATCCTTCCAGCAGACAGCCACCCACCTGCCCCCAGCTGCTTTTCCAGAAACCTCCTGTGTTACTGGGAAACTTGAGGGACACTGGAAACCACCCACAAATACAAAGACATCAAGGGAGGTGGCCAGGACCAGGCCCGGAGACCCCAGCTTTCCAGCGCGCTTTATCGTTTGGAAGTTTGGAATGATTGCTGTGCAAACGGTAATTCCTCAGACTGAGACAATATCAGTGAGGGCCTTTCAACTTTCCAAGCTCTTAAGTTCTCCCTGTTTAGAGGTCAGGGCTTCCTTCTATTTACCTGGTGCCCCCCCCCAGAACACCTTCCATACTCAGGGGCACCTGGTCCAAGACTGCTGTGGGCCGCAGGTGTCAAAGGACAGTCCTGTGCTGGGGTGCCGGTAAGAGAAAGAACACACCCCAACATTTCTTCTCTTTCTTTCTTTCTTTTTGCCATAAGGTATGGGCCTTTATTGGAAGGAGACAGAGAGAGACAGAGAGAGGGAGAGTGAGAAGTCGCCCCCAAGGGGGATGGCCACATTGCAGCCCCGTCTCCGTCCTCCTCTTAGGGTTCTGGGCACACACACATATGTACCCTGGCGTAACCTTCAAGCCACTGGGTCCGGGCTTGAACCAGTAGTGGGCCACATGGAAATCCGGCACCTCAACCACCATGTTAGCTGCTAGCCCCGCCCCAAACATTTGAAAAACACTCTTGCCAAGGAGCTGTTTTCCGGTCTTCAAAATTGTTTTCTTGAAATGTGGAGTATCGTTCGGTTTTTCGCTTTCCCTTGTAGACCTGGCCTTGAAAGGGATTCAGAATTTCCGAGCCCAGTCAGTGGATTGAGCCCTTTCAGGTCCCCCAAAACTATAGTCCCCACAGAACAGGCCCGCACTGCCCACCTTCAGTACTGGGTTAGGGGCAGTTCCAGCACCATTGCACTCTCCTGGGTCCCCTGGGACATGGAATTGCTCTGAATTGCTCTCCTAGGCAGCTCCAACCCAGCCCTGGAGCCCCCCACAGAGACCCAGGGGCTAGGTCTGAAGTACTTGGTATCTTTATAATGGGAGAGGGAGGAGCGTGGAGGTGGCAGGTGAGCCTAGGGATGGGATGTGCCCCTTGTAAAAGCAAGCCCACAGCTTCCCCAGAGTTGGCCTCAGTGTCCTGAGCTCTGTCCTCTTTCCTTCTGGGTCCTCAGTTCCCTAAGCTTTGGTCCTGGACACTCTGAAGACATTTGTTTAGTACCTGTTCCCTCCCATCGCCTTCCCCTCCCCCAGCTGGCTCTGGAAATTTCTGACCAAAAGACAATCGCTAGGGCCTCCAGAGGGTGCCCTCATCACCCAGCTCCCCCCATGGGGCATGGAGACTGGCGGCAGGCTTATTCATGATTTCCTTCTCAACAATATCCCGATTTTTCTCTCCTGTCCCTCCCCCAAGGTTCACATATTGAAACATTTTGCTGCTTAATAAGAGCAGCCACAGAGCTGGGAGGTGAAAGGCCAGCCTGGGACCGTGACTGGGCT